TTAAAGATTTATAGTATGATTACTTAATTCATTATAACATTATATTACCGTATGATCACATAATTAATTATTACATTATATAATGAAATGATTACTTAACTAATTATGACATTATTTTATAAACATTAGTAACTTACTACATTAGCACAATATCTAATTGAACGATTAGAAATTTAATTAATTATAGTATTACATTATAAATTTATAATTTGATTACTTAATTAATTATAATATTCTATTATAAACATTAGTACAATACTTAATTAAATGATTAGAAATTTAATTAATTTAAACATTACATTATAATTAAATAATTACTTAATTAATAATAACATTACATTATATTATAATCACTTAATTAATTATAACAGTACATAGTTAAATGATTACTTAATTAATTATAAATTTATAATATTACATTATAAACATTAGTAATTTACTACATTAGTATATTACTTAATTAAATGATTAAAAATTTAATTAATTATAATATTATATTATAGATTTATAGTATGATTACTTAATTAATTATAATATTCCATTATAAACATTAGTACAATACTTAATTAAATGATTAAAAATTTAATTAATTATAATATTAAATTATAGATTTATAGTATGATTGTTTAATTAATTTAATTAATTGTTTGTGTTTTGGTTTTGATTGGGGATTTTTATGTGAATTGTGATGAATTGATTGAATTCAAATGTTGCCTAGAGATTAGAGGATTTATGAGTTATATTGGACACAAATGAATGAGTAATCAAAATTTGTTAGGGGTGTATTTGTAAATGTTTTAGGTATTTTTGTCATTTTTTAAACTAATAGGGGGTAATTGATTTTTTACAGGATACCCGGGAAAGGACCCAGAGCCTACACTTTAGGTTTCGGTTCCTTGAATTTAAGAACCTATACTATGTAGTTCTGGTTTCGGTTCCTTTTTTTGGGAACTTGCTCTGTGCAATTCCTGTTTCGATTCTCCCGAAAAATGTTGGATATCCGGAACCGCTCATTCCTATTCGGAACTAGAAGATAAATCCTTAGAGCTTATAGTGCTAAGATATGTTAACATAGGATTGCTTTGTGTTCAAGAAAGTGTGGAAGATAAACCCACGATGTCTGAAGTCGTCTCGATGCTCATGAACCAAACTGCACCATTGCCTTCGCCAAAACAACCTGCATTTTTACATGTAAGAAGATCCAAAAATTTGAAGTCATACACCATGGGGCAGAGGCTGCTCTGTGAGAAATGTAACTGTTACAAATTTGGAAGCCCGTTAGTGCTATGGACTTCCCTGTTCCAATAAGGATGGTATATGTATCATATGTTTACTTTTACCCCTATTTGGGAGACATATTATCTTTCGCATTCATTCATAAGTTAAAATTTTTGTTGAAATGTGCATTGGATTGGAAATTTCTGAATCTGTTTACATTGTGGCTTATGGCTTATGTATATCACTAAAGGATTAACTGTTATTCACAGCAACCAGACATTAGATACTACAATATTTACTCCTTCGAAAGCAATCATGAGCTTAGAAAATGTAGCAGTTTTCTAGCAGAGCTTTGCCTGCTTTTCAAATACTCTTCTGACTTTCATTTCTGCTTTTATCCTTTACATCTTCAATTGTGTTCTGCAGTCAAACACTATCTTTATCTTATTGTTTATTACATTATCTTTTGTTTTCACCACCGTTTAATATTATATCAAATTATGAAAATTCTTAAGGTTGGGACATTTTCACCCTTCTGGAAATCTACTCTTGTTAGATGGTCATTTTAATACAAAATTCTACGGTTTTCAACATGAGAAAATTTGTCTGAATTTTTTAACTTTTATTTTCATTAACATCATTTTATGATATCCATATTTTTAAGAAATACAGACGTTCTATAAAAGAAATATACTACTCCCTCCATTTCTTTATAATTGACGTTGTTAACTAAACCATCTCTCTCTTACTCGACATTTGCTCTTGTCTTTTCTCTTCCACTGTTTCTCTGACGCATATCTCCTTTCTCTCTTTCTCTACTCTGTCTCTCATCTCCTCTCTCCACTTTTTCTATGGCCCATATATACATATTAAATTATTTCAGTATTTCACACATTGTGTATGTAACGGGGAAAACAAAATTTTTCCACCTGTAGAATCAGAGGAAGAAGTAAGTCAAAGGAGAAATAAAATTTATTTATTAAAAAGTATACAAAGCGTTAAAACGTCAATTATAAAGAAAGAGAGAGTATAACATATTACACCTAAAAATTTGTTTTAATGTGTACACAGCTGCAGATGATTAAACTTTAAAATTTATATATCAGATGTTTTAACAGTACATGTTGTCATGTTCTGTTTTTCTTCAGCCCTTCTCTGTTGAGGCAGTGGAAGGTAAATGGCCAGGTCAGCCTTCTCAAATAAGTCCACTCAAGTCAATCTTGACAAATCCGCCCACTAAAACAAATATTTCCAACATGGCAGTTTTCTAAAATCAGTCTCCGCCATGTGCAGCCACTTAATTAGAAAAGAAATAAACAAACCAAGCTGTGGTCCAGCTGATAATTGGTCTCCCATTGGGCAAACTTTACCTGCAATGTTTAGAGGTTTGAATCTCATTGGAAATAGCTTGTGGTCAGGAGAAGTTACCCGAGGCCCCATTGGGAATTAGTCAGCAACACTGAAGTCTGAAGAGCAAGAACAAAAACTGGGGCCAGTTAAGTAAAATGCAAAAAAAAAATTCAGAAATTCGAGAGAAAAATATGTGATTACTCTGCTTGTTAGTTTTCCGGATGCAGGGTAGATATTGACTTAAGACTTTACAAATGATTAGAACAATTCTTAGATCAATGAAATAAATTCTGTTTTTCTTTGAAAATTAGGGCTAAAATGACTGTATATGAATGTAATAAGAGTGTTATAATATAGGAACTCTGAATTGGTCAATTTACATCGCAACTGGGTTATTTTTAACAGAGTGCTCTGCCCGCATGCCCTGCCTTTAGAGTTTAGACAGATCTGTCTTCCTCTTCATCCTGTCCCCTTCTCACTGATCATACTGATAATTAGCTAATTGCTTAGCTGTTTAAATCTTTAAAACAACAACAAAAAAATAAAAAATAAAAATAATAATTAACAAATTAAGATACAAAATGAAACAGATTCCAAAACGTTAATATTTCAGGTAAAAGGAAAGCTCTTTTTTTTTTTTTTTTTTTTTTTTTTTTTTTTTTTTTTTTATAATGACCGGAGGTGTCTAAACTAATTTACGTGCATTTCAACTAATTCTTCGAGATTCTAGAACTATCGACCGGATAAAAGTTTCAGTGATTACCCTTATTAGCAACTGAGGAGAAACTTGAATTCATGATATCTTAAGTAATACACTTAAGAGTCTTTTATTCAATCACTCGGTCACCCAAAATCCAAAGATAGAAAAGATCCTTCTTTCCAGTTTCTATCATTTTTCTATTTGGGTTGGTTGTCATAACACTTTCACAATTTCTCAGACAGTTGGATGTATCTGGCCAACTAATTAAACAATCAAATGTTACTTCATGGAGCAAAGAAAGTTGAAGTATTATTTTTATGTAACTGGTAAAAAGAGGCACTGTTGTTATTTGGCCCCCACATCCTTTTGGGTCATTTTAGTGCGCTTCAGAAAGTTTTCATCTCTTCTGTCAACAATCCGACCGACTTGAAGTAGGGTAAGTTATAATCCAAGAAGATAAATGACAGCCCACATCCTTTTAGGGTCATTTTAGTGCGCTCTATCAAGTTTTGATCTCTTTTGTCAAAATTCCTATGTATTTGAAGTAGGGTAAGTTATAATCCAAGAAGATAGATGACAGTCCAATTAAACTGGAATTATACTTTGTTTATACAATATAAATATGTGATTTATAGTTTACAATAAAAGCAGAAGATCAAATAGAAGGGAAAATAAATAACCCACCCATTATTTAATTCATATCATAAAACTGTCCAGGCACCTGCTTTGAACTTGAAAGTATTGTGAAGCCAAAAACGGAGCCGTTTCACTTAAGGATATTCAAGTCAAAACGGGGTCGTTTTTTTTTTTTTTTTGCTATTTTTAAATCATATGGCGTGCCAAGCGCAATTGAAAAGTGCGGAAGTGGCCCCGCAGCAGCCAGGCGTCAACCTTATCCGGCTTAAAATATTTGGCACTGGGACGTCAATTCTGACCAGAGCCAGAGGCCTTGGAGCCCACAGAAGAAATAAAGAATCTTCCGAGTTTGAGGAAAGTTTGTGATGAGGTAAGATTGACAGCGCTATCCAACATAAACTATGTATTAAGTGTAAATTAAGTTATCAATTTAGTATATAAATGTTATTTTAATTCACAATGGGGGAAGTTGAATTATGTGGCACTTTTCTTTGAATCAATATATTGTTAATATCCCACGTGCGGTTCAAATTTGACGAATGCCCTAATCTTTGCTGTTCTTGCAATATCATGGACACCCCTGAACTATGTATTTGTTTGATTGTTATACCCTTAGCTTGAAAATGTATCAACAATGCTCCTCTTATCATTGTCAAATCGTTCAATTAACCGAGAGGCTTACAACTTTGTAAACAAGTATAGCATAATTGAAATTCATAAACTTTTCGTAGTATAGATTTGACCTTGATGGGAGGGACTAGTCATTTTGAAATTTAGTTTGTGCTGATCTTCGTGATTTTTATCTTTACGATGTCATATTCAAATATTGTTGAATCATTGAGTTGGAAGAAATATGACGAGGATTTTGATGAATTGTTGAATAGGAGAATGACAATATGATGGTTTTGTATGCATATTGAATTGGGATTATCTTTAGAATTTTGGATTCCTAAGAAAAGGGTATTTCTGATAAATTTTTAAACTAAAGATGTAAACTGATTAGGCAATAGTTTAGGGGTATCTAAAAGTTATCCACAGTAATGATGTGTTCCACGGTAGTCTGCCTATTTTCTTCACTTTCCCTTCTCCAAGATCTTGTATCAGATCTCATCACAGTGAGAAGTCTTCTCTATATAACAAGTTGCAGCCAAACCTTCTTCTCTGAATAACTAACAAACAAAATTTCATGCAATATTTTGCGAGACCATCAAGTTAGTTCAACAATGGAGAGGAACCTTCATATCTTCCACTACTGCTTTAGCATTTTCATCTTTTTCACAAGAATCAACTTGTTTTTAGCAGCTGATACCATAACTCCAGAGGGGTCCTTGCAGGATGGTGACACATTGGTTTCTTCAGCCCAAAGGTTTGAGCTTGGCTTCTTCTATCCTGGAAAATCAAAGAACAGGTATTTGGGAATATGGTACAAGCAGAGCCCCGAGACAGTTGTGTGGGTTGCGAATAGAAACAATCCGATTCTTGATACTAATGGAAGTTTAGTTATTAGTGATGATGGAAACCTTGTTCTTCTCAATAAATCAAAGGGGACTGTCTGGTCTTCAAACATTTCTAGCAAATTAGAAAATCCAGTGGCTCAGCTTTTGGACAATGGAAACTTTATTGTTAAGGATAATTTTAGCTCCAATGCTTCTGAAAGCTATCTTTGGCAAAGCTTTGACTTCCCAACAGACATATTGTTACCTGAAATGAAGTTGGGTTGGAACTTGAAGGCGGGTTTTGATCGTTATTTAACTGCATGGAGAAGCGCTGATGATCCATCTCTTGGAGACTATACTTTCAAACTCGAAATTGATTTGTTACCTGAAATGGTAATCTACAATCGATCAGAGAAGTTTGCTCGGACTGGACCATGGAATGGAGCTTTCTTTGGAGGCATTCCTACGAAGCCAAACTTGCTGTTTGAACCAATTGTGGTGACTAATCAAGATGAGTATACTTACAGGTACGAGTCTTTTAACAATCCCATTGTCATGCTATTAAAAGTAAATAATTCTGGTATGATACAATGGCAAATATGGAACGAGAGAAGTACTGGATGGGATAGTGTGTACTTTGCGCCTGAAGATGTGTGTGGACATTATGGGCATTGTGGGCCTAACAGTGTTTGCAACATTGACGAGACTCCAATTTGTGAGTGTTTGAAGGGATTTGTGCCCAATTCACAGTCTAACCACACTTCATTTAACGGGTGTGTGAGAGGTTCGCCCTTGGATTGTAAAGGCGGAGATGGGTTTATAAAGCTTGATGGGATTAAATTGGCTGACTTGATAGATGTTTCTCTGAATGAGAGTATGAGTCTTGTGGAATGTAAGGCCAAATGCTTGAATAACTGTTCTTGCCAAGCTTATATTAATTCCAATGTAACTGGTGGAGGCAGTGGCTGTTTGGTGTGGTTTGGGGATTTGGTTGATATCAGAAAGCTCGTTGAGAACAGGGGGACACAGGATATCTTTATACGAGTGCCTGCTTCAGAACTGGGTATGTGTATTTTATAATTCATAGTGCTATTCTTTCACTTTGAAGCTGGAGTACTTAAGTTGTTCTTGAATTAATGGTTCTTTTTGTTTTTCTGTTTCCTTATTATTTTAATACATCTTTTGAGGACTCAACTCCTGTCAATGAATCTGTGCCTTTTATGTGGTGAATTCTTCTAGACTGTCTTTTTTGATGTGCTTCTTTGTTTTTCTTTTATAGGCACAAACTCAAGCAGTGGGACTTCTACAGAAAATGAGAATAAAGGAAGCAGTAAGCATATATGGATAATTGTCATACCTATCCTGTCTCTGGCAATGGTCATTGTAGGTATCATGATTCCTTATATGAGGAGAAACATCAGAAGCAAAGGTAAAACTTCTCACAGAATGGTTTAAGCTGTATATGGTTATTTCTTTAATGCCATAATATTGATTTCTTCACACGTTCAGGGGAGGATCTTTTGTCATTTGATGTTGGCATGGGGCTAGATGATGATCATGCGGAGCTTACTGAAGTAAAGAAGCTTGGAGAAAGTAGTAGTAGAAAGGACGTTAAATTGCCATTATTCAGTTTTGCAAGTGTTTCTGCTGCAACAGATAATTTCTCATTCACAAACATGCTTGGTGAAGGGGGTTTCGGACCTGTTTACAAAGTAAGATTTTTTTGTCCTCAGCAGCAATACTAAAGCTGATTAGTAATTGGTGCCAGAGTTTCAAAGTAAAACTTTGTCAAGTTAATGAAGAAAGTAATGTTTCAGGGAAAACTGTTGAAAGGGGATCAAATAGCTGTGAAAAGGCTCTCAAAAAGATCTGGACAAGGATGGGAGGAATTAAAAAATGAAGCAGTTCTCATAGCCAAGCTCCAACACAAAAATCTTGTTAGACTTTTGGGCTGCTGTATCGAACAAGATGAAAAGATACTGATCTATGAGTACATGCCAAATAAGAGCTTGGATATCTTTCTCTTTGGTTTGTAAATCTCACAGTTTTGTATTTATATTTGATTGTACATAATTGGTGTTTTCCTTTTTGGGGTCTACTTACTTCTTGGCTCATATCTTTTTCATTTGCTTATCAGATCCTGAGAAACGTAAGTTGTTAGATTGGACTACACGTGTTCGAATTATTGAAGGGATTGCTCAAGGACTTCTCTACCTTCATGAATATTCTAGATTGCGAATTATTCATAGGGATTTGAAAGCTAGTAATATTTTGTTGGACAAAGACATGAATCCTAAAATTTCTGATTTTGGAATGGCAAGAATATTTGGAGTGGATGAGTTACAAGCGAACACACAGAGGATCGTTGGAACTTAGTAAGTAAATGGTGCAACTGAATTTAAGACTCCTATGTGCAACATTAAAATCCACTTTACTTAAGTTATGCATGAAATTATTATAATGAATTTACTAATTATCCCAATGATTTTTGAACTGCAGTGGATATATGTCTCCAGAATATGCCCTTGAAGGTGTCTTCTCAATAAAATCTGATGTCTTTAGCTTTGGGGTGTTGTTACTGGAGATTATTAGCGGCAAGAAGAATTCTGGTTTTTATCAGGCTGACTGCCTCAATCTTCTGGGTTTTGTAAGTAACAAAAGCAGACTCAGTTTTGTTATGTCAAATTATTTTCTTTTCAACTGATTTTTACTGATGTAATTTCTCATTTGTGGATGTAAGGCATGGGATAAGTGGACAAGTGACGGGGGATTGGACTTGATGGATCCAGTATTAGAAGAAGCAGCCTCCAGACATATATTACTAAGATATGTTAACATTGGGCTGCTTTGTGTTCAGGAAAATGCAGAAAATAGACCCTCTATGTCTGATGTAGTCTCCATGCTTATGAATGAAACTGCAACACTATCTTCTCCAAAACAACCTGCTTTTGCGCACATAAGAAGTAATGCCGATTCAAAGTTGTCCCCCGATGGCGGTAGGCCAGAGAATTGTTCTATCAACGATATAACTGTTACTATTATGGAAGCCCGTTAGCATTTAGTACTTTCATGATCGATAGAGAGTGTATATATTTTGCTGTGTATGTGTTTTGAGTTAAATTTATACATACAGTTCAGTTTAAGAGAAATACGGATACCACATTGATATATAGAAATATCTTTTGAACTCAAATGTGTTTTGGGTGCTTGACTCTGTGTGTTTGTCTTTGATCTTTCTCATCATGAACATTGAATACTAAAATATTTATTCCTAGGATTGAATTGTATGGTCAATAATGATCCAAGAGTGCATAGTCAGTAGTCAACACTATTGTGCTGAAAAGGTCGCAGCTGAAAAGAACTTCCATTTGAAATTTAACATCATGGGCCAAGGCCAACCTTGTACTATTTAATGATATGTCTTTATTTATTTGTTTGGTTGCTGGTTTTCTTTCTTTGGCAGATCAAGTTAGTTCAACAATGGAGAGGAACCTTCATTTCTTCCACTACTGCTTTAGCATTTTCATCTTTTTCACAATAATCAACTTGTTTTTAGCAGCTGATACCATAACTCCAGAAGGGTCCATCCAGGATGGTGACACATTGGTTTCTTCAGCCCAAAGGTTTGAGCTTGGCTTCTTCTCTCCTGGAAAATCAAAGAACAGGTATTTGGGAATATGGTACAAGCAGAGCCCTGAGACAGTTGTGTGGGTTGCGAATAGAAACAATCCGATTCTTGATACCAATGGAAGTTTAGTTATTAGTGATGATGGAAACCTTGTTCTTCTCAATAAATCAAAGGGGACTGTCTGGTCTTCAAACATTTCTAGCAAATTAGAAAATCCAGTGGCTCAGCTTTTGGACAATGGAAACTTTATTGTTAAGGATAATTTTAGCTCCAATGCTTCTGAAAGCTATCTTTGGCAAAGCTTTGACTTCCCAACAGACATATTGTTACCTGAAATGAAGTTGGGTTGGAACTTGAAGGCGGGTTTTGATCGTTATTTAACTGCATGGAGAAGCGCTGATGATCCATCTCTTGGAGACTATACTTTCAAACTCGAAATTGATTTGTTACCTGAAATGGTAATCTACAATCGATCAGAGAAGTTTGCTCGGACTGGACCATGGAATGGAGCTTTCTTTGGAGGCATTCCTACGAAGCCAAACTTGCTGTTTGAACCAATTGTGGTGACTAATCAAGATGAGTATACTTACAGGTACGAGTCTTTTAACAATCCCATTGTCATGCTATTAAAAGTAAATAATTCTGGTATGATACAATGGCAAATATGGAACGAGAGAAGTACTGGATGGGATAGTGTGTACTTTGCGCCTGAAGATGTGTGTGGACATTATGGGCATTGTGGGCCTAACAGTGTTTGCAACATTGACGAGACTCCAATTTGTGAGTGTTTGAAGGGATTTGTGCCCAATTCACAGTCTAACCACACTTCATTTAACGGGTGTGTGAGAGGTTCGCCCTTGGATTGTAAAGGCGGAGATGGGTTTATAAAGCTTGATGGGATTAAATTGGCTGACTTGATAGATGTTTCTCTGAATGAGAGTATGAGTCTTGTGGAATGTAAGGCCAAATGCTTGAATAACTGTTCTTGCCAAGCTTATATTAATTCCAATGTAACTGGTGGAGGCAGTGGCTGTTTGGTGTGGTTTGGGGATTTGGTTGATATCAGAAAGCTCGTTGAGAACAGGGGGACACAGGATATCTTTATACGAGTGCCTGCTTCAGAACTGGGTATGTGTATTTTATAATTCATAGTGCTATTCTTTCACTTTGAAGCTGGAGTACTTAAGTTGTTCTTGAATTAATGGTTCTTTTTGTTTTTCTGTTTCCTTATTATTTTAATACATCTTTTGAGGACTCAACTCCTGTCAATGAATCTGTGCCTTTTATGTGGTGAATTCTTCTAGACTGTCTTTTTTGATGTGCTTCTTTGTTTTTCTTTTATAGGCACAAACTCAAGCAGTGGGACTTCTACAGAAAATGAGAATAAAGGAAGCAGTAAGCATATATGGATAATTGTCATACCTATCCTGTCTCTGGCAATGGTCATTGTAGGTATCATGATTCCTTATATGAGGAGAAACATCAGAAGCAAAGGTAAAACTTCTCACAGAATGGTTTAAGCTGTATATGGTTATTTCTTTAATGCCATAATATTGATTTCTTCACACGTTCAGGGGAGGATCTTTTGTCATTTGATGTTGGCATGGGGCTAGATGATGATCATGCGGAGCTTACTGAAGTAAAGAAGCTTGGAGAAAGTAGTAGTAGAAAGGACGTTAAATTGCCATTATTCAGTTTTGCAAGTGTTTCTGCTGCAACAGATAATTTCTCATTCACAAACATGCTTGGTGAAGGGGGTTTCGGACCTGTTTACAAAGTAAGATTTTTTTGTCCTCAGCAGCAATACTAAAGCTGATTAGTAATTGGTGCCAGAGTTTCAAAGTAAAACTTTGTCAAGTTAATGAAGAAAGTAATGTTTCAGGGAAAACTGTTGAAAGGGGATCAAATAGCTGTGAAAAGGCTCTCAAAAAGATCTGGACAAGGATGGGAGGAATTAAAAAATGAAGCAGTTCTCATAGCCAAGCTCCAACACAAAAATCTTGTTAGACTTTTGGGCTGCTGTATCGAACAAGATGAAAAGATACTGATCTATGAGTACATGCCAAATAAGAGCTTGGATATCTTTCTCTTTGGTTTGTAAATCTCACAGTTTTGTATTTATATTTGATTGTACATAATTGGTGTTTTCCTTTTTGGGGTCTACTTACTTCTTGGCTCATATCTTTTTCATTTGCTTATCAGATCCTGAGAAACGTAAGTTGTTAGATTGGACTACACGTGTTCGAATTATTGAAGGGATTGCTCAAGGACTTCTCTACCTTCATGAATATTCTAGATTGCGAATTATTCATAGGGATTTGAAAGCTAGTAATATTTTGTTGGACAAAGACATGAATCCTAAAATTTCTGATTTTGGAATGGCAAGAATATTTGGAGTGGATGAGTTACAAGCGAACACACAGAGGATCGTTGGAACTTAGTAAGTAAATGGTGCAACTGAATTTAAGACTCCTATGTGCAACATTAAAATCCACTTTACTTAAGTTATGCATGAAATTATTATAATGAATTTACTAATTATCCCAATGATTTTTGAACTGCAGTGGATATATGTCTCCAGAATATGCCCTTGAAGGTGTCTTCTCAATAAAATCTGATGTCTTTAGCTTTGGGGTGTTGTTACTGGAGATTATTAGCGGCAAGAAGAATTCTGGTTTTTATCAGGCTGACTGCCTCAATCTTCTGGGTTTTGTAAGTAACAAAAGCAGACTCAGTTTTGTTATGTCAAATTATTTTCTTTTCAACTGATTTTTACTGATGTAATTTCTCATTTGTGGATGTAAGGCATGGGATAAGTGGACAAGTGACGGGGGATTGGACTTGATGGATCCAGTATTAGAAGAAGCAGCCTCCAGACATATATTACTAAGATATGTTAACATTGGGCTGCTTTGTGTTCAGGAAAATGCAGAAAATAGACCCTCTATGTCTGATGTAGTCTCCATGCTTATGAATGAAACTGCAACACTATCTTCTCCAAAACAACCTGCTTTTGCGCACATAAGAAGTAATGCCGATTCAAAGTTGTCCCCCGATGGCGGTAGGCCAGAGAATTGTTCTATCAACGATATAACTGTTACTATTATGGAAGCCCGTTAGCATTTAGTACTTTCATGATCGATAGAGAGTGTATATATTTTGCTGTGTATGTGTTTTGAGTTAAATTTATACATACAGTTCAGTTTAAGAGAAATACGGATACCACATTGATATATAGAAATATCTTTTGAACTCAAATGTGTTTTGGGTGCTTGACTCTGTGTGTTTGTCTTTGATCTTTCTCATCATGAACATTGAATACTAAAATATTTATTCCTAGGATTGAATTGTATGGTCAATAATGATCCAAGAGTGCATAGTCAGTAGTCAACACTATTGTGCTGAAAAGGTCGCAGCTGAAAAGAACTTCCATTTGAAATTTAACATCATGGGCCAAGGCCAACCTTGTACTATTTAATGATATGTCTTTATTTATTTGTTTGGTTGCTGGTTTTCTTTCTTTGGTCTACAGTTTAGTTGACACTGTCACTGATAACATCATTGCAGAATGTCAAACTGTGCTTCTCTGGACAAAGATGATCCAAAGTGACTCCAAATCCTGTACACAATGTGAAATACATCTCTAGCATGATGAAATATAATGCCTATGAATATCTCTTGTTGCTTATCTTTTCGTGTGCTCTTTTACATATTATTAACACATAGCATCTCAAGCACAAGAAAATATAAATCACATAAACATGGCACCTAACCACTTGCTCAGAGACCATTTCATTGGTCATACTTAATATTTCACTTCCTAGATCTAATTAAGTTATTAGCACTAGCTGATAGGGATGGCATGGGCCAGGGACCATTGTCCCGAGGTCAGCTTTGAAGGCTTAAGGGGATTCTCCAAATCTGGCCCGATAGGAATCCCAGAACTCGACCCAATCTTCAAACGGGGGTTTTGGGGAATCCCCAAACTCCCTGCAAAAAATATTAAAAAAAAATCCAAATTTTTTTATATCCAAATTTTTATTTTATTTTTTTGTTTTTTATAAAGTCCCTTAAGTCTTATCAAATTATCAAAAAATGTCTTTTATGAAATGATACACTATGTCTATTTGATAAATGATAGATTATGTTTATTTAAGATATAATTGTTTTTGAAATCTCTTATCAAATTATTAAAGAGAATTTAAGATAAATTCTAAATAAATAACTATCATAATTTATTATTAATTAATATAATAATAATAATAATGCTATGGACACCGAAGTTTTATACTGAAATTTTGCACCGAACGACATGTCAGCTGAGTCAGACGCAACCACGTAGCATATTAACAGTTATTTCGTGAATGAACGACCGTCCATCAAATATAGACGAGCGTCCATGATTATTGGACGGTTGTTCATTTTAAATAGACTCTTGTCCATACGAAAATAACAATGGAGTCCCATCCATTTTATATGGACGGAGGTTCATCTACTATGGACGAACGTCCACCTAGAATGAATGCCCATCCATAGTTAAAATTAAAACAAAAATCATGGATGCCTGTCGATAATATATAGACCAGCTGCACCAGCATCCCTATTAAAAAAAANACGCGTGTCGTGATCACCAGCATAGTCGGCGTCACAATAGCCAACTATCTTACACTGTTCTCCTTTCTTATACAGAAGACCATAGTCAAGGAGGAACCCCTTTCATGTACCTCAATATTCGTCGAAAGTGAGGTTTCTTTGGATTTTGCATGAATCGACTAACCACTCCAACTGCATATGCGATGTAGGGCCTTGTCAGGGTTAGCGCTTGTGCTAAGCGATAAGAATTCGTTCTGGAATGCCGGCGCGGACTGAAGGATGATGTTTATTAGCCAGACAAATCCTTAATTCGAAAGACGACAATCAAAGCATCACGACTCGTGGAGCATTCATTCCTAAAAGGTGTAAACCTGTGAGATCGGTAGACAACCCGTAAAAGGAAGCCGCTAGGCATCAAGCCCTATTATCTTACACCTAGGGAGGGTGGCCGTTGTTGGGTTTTTCTCAATTAGAGTCGCAAGGAGTTTGCTGCTCGTTGGTAGTGGAATGCTGACTAACCGTCTCCGTCCCCCTATGATGAGAAAAAGCTTTCCGAGTGGACGAGGACCGATCTTCTCTTTCTTTAGTCTTGCTCGTCTTATGGCATTAGCCTTTGCGGATTCCTTAATCCGCGGGACAGCTGTCTCGGCACATGTCAATCCTTATGTCCCCAGCGAGCAGGTCAAGGTACTCTATGTTGCTGCTTGCCTTTATCTTCCAGTCTGCCAAGCAAGCTTGTTTATTCTATGTTATTGATAAATCGCTATTTCCCCCAAACCGCTAGTTTTCTCATACGACTCAGAACTTCTCACGTTGTTCTGTCTCCAAACAGAGAGCTCATAGGCCTTATTCTTTGGATAAAAGTAGCGACGAGCCGACTACTACGACCACATGCGCATCTAGCGCAGTGGCTTGTCACTTCGTACCTTGACCATCTTCCGAAGTTCTAAATAATCTACTGATCAAAAGCTGTAGGGGCGGACTGCTCTACATTCAGCCACGCCACAGTGACCCCCCGAAGCGATCTGCCTCATTGCAGGACGAAATCCGGCAGCCAATTGCTGGCTCTGAATAACCAGCCCAGCAAGAAGTTCAATTCTTCCATAACATAACGGGGCGGGGTTGCGCGCGAGCCGAGTGACGTAGATGCACAAGAGTACTTCGCGCCACAACCATTTCTTTTTTATACGTTCTACGGACCGATGCCTGCTGCTTCATCTGGAAGAAAAGAATCATAGATATGCCGGTCATTAGAAGGAAGAACCACCATAAAAAGATTCCTCGTGTATCATCTGTAGCAAAACTATGAACGGAAGCTAGCAATCCGGACCGTATTGAAAAGGTTCCTGAGACACAGCATGGACTTATTACACATCTATGTGTATAAGAGAGCAATCCGGACCGTATTTTGAAAAGGTTCCTNTTTAAGGCCTTGTAAATCTTTTAAAGGTATACGGCGAAGTAATTTCAAAGAATCCTATTACTGAAAAACCAAACTTAAAGCAGGATGACATTGAAGAGCTAGATGAGGAAGAGGAGTTTGAAGAAAAGATTTTAAAATTTTTTTTGTGCAATAGAGAAGCCTGACAGGCATCCATGATTTTTGTTTTAATTTAAACTGTGGACGGACGTCCATTATAGGTGGACGCCAGTTCATAGTAAATGGACTCCTGTCTATATTATATGGACGGAAGTCCATTGTTATTTTCGAATGGACGAGAGTCTATTCAAAATGAACGGTCGTCCAATAATCATCCATATTTGATGAACCACTGTTCATTCGGAGAATAGTTGGTAATGTGCTACGTGGTTGCGTTTGACTTAGGTGACACATCTTTCAGTACAAAATTTCAGTGTAAACCTTCGGTGTGCATTCAACCCCCGTCGTACGTGTGTTAGCTTGATCTCTTGCCTTATTATTATTAAATACTTCGCCTAGTAGGGCACAAAAGTTCACCTCTTGACAATGTAGGTGCCATGGGCTTGTTTGATTACTAACTCCAAATCCCATATATATATGACATTTACAAGTTATTTCAATAATATAACATATATATTAACATTTAATCATTTGCATATATATTAAGTAATTTATATATGCATATTTAATATAGACAAAATCTCTATTATTATTTATTACCCATTTGTATATAGTTTCACTCAATGTTCTCACAATTATAATTATTATTATAATCACATTTAAATTTGATCAATTAAAAATGTGAAACAATTAATTATTAAAGTGGTAATTTCTTGATAAATGTGTTTTTTTTTTTTTTACAATAGTAAATTACTAAATTGTGTCTTGTTACATAATACAATTTACTGGGGTGGGTGGGGGCAGGGCCAATTTGGGACCAGAGTGGGTTGGGCCAGGACAAGGGAATTTTTGTACCCGGCCCAGCCTCGATTTCAGGGATTGCTTTTGGGCTTGAGCCTGTCTGGTCCCCAATCAGGGGAATCTCTACACCGTTTGGGCTGGGTCAGGGCGGGGAACGTGCCCATCCCACTGACCAGCATGGTAGCCAGAATTTGTAAAATTCGTTAGCTAATCATTTTGGAAGACCTGAGTCAATACGTGATCCACAACCCACATTCTAGCGTTTAAACTTCAATCTAGAAAAGGGAACTGAGAAACAGGTTTGCAAATTTACAACTGGTTCTTACAAATATAGTAGTGCTAACTGCTAAATAGTGATGGATTGTTTATTATGAAATTTGAAATTTTATACACAAGTGTACCTGTAGGGCTAGATATAAATGATGGGATTAGACTGTGTTTAAAAAAATTAGTCCAATCCTTTGTTTGTGGCTAGTTTTTAAAGAATGGGATTGGGATAAATGTTTTTAAAAATATTTTAATTAATTTTGTATATATTTAAAGTTATGAATATTATGTTGAATGATAATAAATATTTTTGTGTCCAAATTGTATCATAATTGAGTTAAATTCTGTCCCAAAAACTTAGTCGAAGCCTATCCTGTCGTGCCTCACAAATCTTGAAGACTTGTGAGTAGATTTAGAAAGAGAAAAAGAAAAATAAGACTTGGAAAAGCAAGCAGTTACACGCTGAGCAACAGTTAATGAAATGGAATGTTGAAAATCTAAGCTAGAAAAAACATGGAATAGATGAAGGAAAGTGTGTACGTGCACTGCTTCTAAATTTACGAGATACGAAACAACTTTAGGTGCATAGCCATGTTAGTGGACGCGGAAAAACACTTCTAAATATAGGGGATCAGTTTTACTTTTGAGTACAACGTTGAAAATTAAGTCTCATTGCAGAATCTCTTTTCCGATGGTGAATGCCATCAGGATTTTTTCCGCATAGAAACATTAAACACTTCAATGGACAAAGATGTCATATTTTCTAAGATATCTGCTTGTCCTTTTCTTTTGCTACTCATGTCAAAGGTTGCGTTCACATAATCCATTCGGGGAATATATGCCATCTTTTCAGGCATTTTCCTTTGTACATGTTAATGGAGAGTGTACCCTTCTTCTGCTTCTTTACCTTTTTCATTTGTTTCTCAAGCATTAAGTTGTTATTAGCAGTTGATACCATTACTCCAGGCAAATTCATTCAAGATGGTGAGACCTTGGTTTCACAATCCCAAATGTTTGAGCTAGGCTTCTTCTCTCCAGGGAAATCAAAGAATAGGTACCTGGGAATATGGTACAAGAAGAGCGCCGAGACGGTTGTGTGGGTCGCTAATAGAAACAACCCAATTATCGAGCCACATGGAGTCTTAACCATTTGCAACGATGGAAGCCTTGTTATTCTTAACAAAACAGAGGGCATTATCTGGTCTTCAAACACATCCAGAAGAATGGAAAATCCAGTGGCACAGCTCTTAGACACTGGAAACCTTGTTGTTAGGAACAACTTTAGCATGAATACTTCTGAAAGTTATGTATGGCAGAGCTTTGATTATCCATCAGACACTCTATTACCAGGTATGAAGTTGGGCTGGGACTTGAAGACCGGTCTGGAGAGACACTTAACATCATGGAGGAGTGCTGATGATCCATCCCCTGGAGAATATACTTTCAGACTTGACATTAGTATTTTACCTCAATTATCTTTATACAGGAGATCAGTGAAACTTAGCCGTCGTGGACCATGGAATGGAGTTAACTTTATGTCAATTCCTTCGGATCCAAACTTCAGTTTTGATCCAATTCTGGAAGATAATCAGGATGAGATTTATTACATGTACGAGTCCTACAACAACCCAACCGTTATGTTATTAAAACTCAACTATTCAGGTAAGATGCAGCGGCTAATATGGAAAGAGAGGAGTTCTGAGTGGAAAGTTGAGTTCTCAAAGCCAGCTGAGGATTCCTGTGAATATTATATGAAGTGTGGTGCTAATACCGTTTGCAGCATTAACAAGACACCTATTTGTAAGTGTTTGAAGGGGTTTAAGCCCAAATCACAGTACAATGGGACATGGCCTACAACATGTGTGACAAATTCTGCATTAGATTGCAAAAGTGAAGATAGGTTTGTGAACCTTTCTGGGATTGAATTGCCTGACTTGCTCAAGGTTTCATTAAACAAGAGTATGAATCTGAAGGAATGTGAGGCTGAGTGCTTGAGGAGCTGTTCTTGTAGAGCTTATGCAAATTCCAATGTCACTGGAGGAGGCAGTGGCTGTTTGATGTGGTTTGGGGACTTGATTGACATCAAGAGAATTACCGACGGAATGGATATATACATAAGAATGCCAGCTTGTAAACCAGGTATATATGTTTTGTTTTATTATGCAGTGTTATTTTTGTTTGGCTTAAGGTAGTGTTTGGTTTATTATTTTGAGTAGTATTGTTGAAAAAGATGAGTTGGATGTTATTACGAGATAGGATTTAAACTTCAAAAAAACCTCCTAAGTTTGTTAATTTACTAAATACCCCCTATAATAAAACATTAAAAATTAACAGAAATACCCCTACCCACCCATTAAATGCCGACAACCAACTGCCACAGCTGAAGGGTGGCCAAAAGTCACCGTAATGGCACACAACCGGCTGGAAAAGACCAGATCTACGACCAGATGTGGCCAAAGATTTGACCGTCAATGGTTAGATCTTTGGCTGTGGATCTGGTAAAAAAAGGCTAGATTGACGCACTACTGACCAGATTCAGCCGATAATGTGTCATTATGCCATATTTCGACCATCTTCCGGCAATGGTGGTCGGAACCTGGCAAATGTGGGTGAGTGGGGATGTTTTTTTGTCAATTTATAAACTTTTTTTGTTGGGAGTATTTAGTTAAATTAACAAATCTAGGGGGTTTAAAAATAGTTGAATATAATAGAAGTGGATTTTAAGAATAGGAAAACAAATATGTATTTTGGGTAGGAGTACATGATAAGAATAATAAAACAAATAGACTCTAAGTTTTTAATTACATATTAATCTCATCCATAGCAAAAAATATAAATTGTTAGCTACGTAAGCACTTTTAGCTGTGTCACTTTTAGCTATGATAAGCTACAAAAAATTGCATTTATAGCTAAACCATTTAGTTAAACAAATTCATATTTTTATATACAATGAACACCATAGCTAGAAATGCATAATGTGGTAGTGTATGCTTTCTTTTATTATGCAGTGTTATTATTATTATTATTATTATTATTATTTCACTTCTATGTTATGCTAAAGTTTTATCCAAAATAACTCGAGTTGAGATAGTGAATCACAATGCACTTTAGCCTCCTTGTATCAGGAAAGAGGTCCGTGTATACTTTTGCGGGCAAAAAAAGCAAGGAATTTTATTTTCTTTCGAATGACTTCCTTTGATTACAATGACATATTTTGGATATAGGAAAGAAGAAGCTGCTTTTGGCAGTTGTAATAGTTGTTTCTCTGATGGTGCTTCTTCCTGCATTTTACTTCCTTTGTTATAGGAGGAGAAAACTGAAGAAGAAAGGTAACTTCTAATTTGCACCAATCTCTTATACATATGCATATGAAACAAGCATTAGCACTCACATTTCAAGTTTGGTCTTGCAAAAACAGAGGAGACTAAGAAAAGCGAGGATATGCTACTATTTGATACAAGTATGACCATGAGGACTGGTGCTAATGAACTCTGTGATGGAGACAGTACTGGAAAAGGTAAGAGTAAGGATCTTTGGTTGCCATTGTTCAGCTTTGCAAGTGTATCCGCTGCTACGAATAACTTTTCCCCAGAAAATAAGCTAGGAGAAGGTGGCTTTGGACCTGTCTACAAGGTAGTACTCTCATCACTTTAAACAAAGTACTCTTGAATTAATTGCAATATTAAAGCGGATTCTTGAGATTATGGATGTTCCATTGCAGGGAAAACTACTTAATGGACAGGAAGTTGCTGTGAAAAGGCTTTCAAGGTATTCAGGGCAAGGACTAGAAGAGTTGAAAAATGAGACCTTGCTTATAGCCAAGCTCCAACACAGGAACCTTGTTAGAGTCTTGGGTTGCTGTATGGAGGAAGGAGAAAACATTTTAATCTATGAATACATGCCTAACAAAAGCTTGGATTCATTCCTTTTCGGTGAGTATTTTTTGTCATAATAGAACACATGTTCCCTACCTTACTATATGATATAAAATTTTATGATGAGAATATTTCTTTCATAGTAACATCATATGTTTGATCTTTTGATAAATTGCAACAGATCCAAGAAAAAAGGGTGTATTAGATTGGACAATAAGGGTTAGGATTATAGACGGGATAGCTCAAGGACTCTTGTATCTTCATCAATATTCCAGGCTTCGAATTATTCATAGAGATTTGAAGACTAGTAATATACTTTTAGATAATGACATGAACCCCAAAATATCTGACTTTGGCTTGGCAAGAATGTTTGCTGGTGATGAGATACAAGCAAATACTCAACGGGTTGTTGGAACATTGTAAGCAAATTATTATTATTGAAACTACTTCTAATCCTTGCAAGATTTAATTTTCTACCAGTGTTTTCATTATGTATTCAAGATAGTAAAATATTTGATTAACTGGTGAATTTCAGTGGTTATATGCCCCCTGAGTATGCACTACAAGGCCTCTTCTCCATAAAATCTGATGTGTATAGCTTTGGAGTATTGCTTTTGGAGATAGTAAGCAGCAAGAAGAATACAGGCTTCTACCACAGTGGCTCTCATAATCTTCTTGGATATGTAGGTGACAATTGTGTTTCATTTATTTTCCTCCAAACATATTGAGTTATAAGAAGTGCATAATTGGATTGGAAATGTTAAGAATTTGATCACCTCAAAGGTTCTATTTTTTTTTTTTTTTTTTTTTTTCAGGCGTGGTTTTTTTTTTTTTCAGGCGTGGAAACTATGGAGAGATGACAAGGCTTTGGATCTGATGGATCCTGTACTGGAAAACAAAGCATCATATCCAAGTCTTCTGAGATACATTAATGTTGCACTTCTGTGTGTGCAAGAGAAAGCAGCCGATAGACCAACCATGTCAGAAGTAGTCTCAATGCTTACCAATGAGCTTCTTGTTTTACCTTCTCCCAAGCAGCCAGCTTTTTTTCATGTGGGAATTTCTCAAAATTTAATCCAAGCTTGTTCAATGAATGACATAACAATCACAGAAATGGAAGCTCGATAGAAGGCTTCACCGCAGTTCCTGATTTGTATATTCGGTGCTTAGAAGGCTTGAAGTTGATGTAAAAATTAATAATTCAAAGAAGAAAAGAAACAGATAACTAGGACTAGGAGTCAAGAATATAATTTTCAATTTCATAACTTCCATCATTCTGTTGTGTATTTGTTTGGTTAGGGCAAGGGACAAGTGGACATGTAACAGGGATTATCTAGAATTACATGATTTAGCCTCCAAAAATTCTACGTAGTTATAATGTTGGGACCAATGTAATTAATTTATTATTATGAAGATGTTATAACTTGATAGATGTATAATTATAATAATTATTTTTTTGATTAAAAAATTATTATTTTAATTTTTAATTTTATAATTCATGTTTTAGTAGTATTAGGATTTCAATTCATGTTTTAGTAATATTAGGATTTCAATTCATTGTTTTAGTAGCATTAGGATAGTATGGGAATAAATATCAAAGAGTCATTGTAGAATAGAGTGATCAAATTCGACAATTTCACTACATTAATCAAATGGATATTAATGTCTTTCTTAATCATCTAAATGAGCAATAAGTCGGGTATATTTTAACTGAAGAAGAAATCATTACTGAAATTAGACAAGTTAAGGAAGGAGATAATCCTGAAGATGATAATATGGAAATACCAAAAGATTCTTGTCAAGGAGTTTTAAATATGCTTGAGAAGCTAGGAATATTTTAGCTTTAACAAGAAGGTATCCATGTTAGTGACTTATTATGAACCCACAAGATATGGTAACAACTCTAAAGCATAAATCATTGTCCCAAACAACTTTAGATAAATATTTTATTTCATCTTAAATCTTTAATGTAAGATAGTATATATTTTTTGTAATATACATATAATTATAACTATGTAGAGATAAGTTCCTTAAAACGAGACCTAGAAAAATGATAACTTATTACAATGTGAAATTCTTCATGACTATATAGAGATTATTCCTATATAAAATATCATTTTAAAGAGGTTCTACTGTATATATATTTCATTGGACTTTGAGAATAATGAGGGTTAATGTGACATCAGAATATACTTAGATAGAATTCACCCCAAAAGCTAACTAGAGAGAAGAGTGAATTTAATCACATATATACTCTATAACAGTCAACCAACTTGATGGTGGGACAAATTGAATTTCTAATAACAATCCACCAACCAAGTAATGTGGGACAAATTCAACTTTTAACATGGAAGAGTTGAACATCTAGTGGCACAACTCTTAGACACTGGAAACCTTGTTCTTTGGGATAATTTCAGCGTGGATATTTCTGAAAGTTATGAGGTGGCAGAGCTTTGACTATCCATCAGACAATCTATTACCAGGAATGAAGTTGGGTTCGGACTTAAAGACTGGTCTGGAGATATACTTAACATCATGGAAGAGTGCTGATGATCCATCCCTTGGAGGTTATACTTTCAGATTTGGCATTAACATCTTACCTCAATTATTTGTTGTGCAAATTGCACATGTTGGTTAATTAAAATATTGTTGAATTAGACTATTATCTAAGCCCAAGTATGACCATAGAAGTGAGTTAGCCAAAGCTTTTTAAAGAGTGGTGGAGATTTAGCCGAGCGGCTAAGTGGTAGCCAAGCAAGTATGTGGTCATGGTTCGGCAAGCAATCACTTTATGGCCAAGTGAAATGGGTGGCAAGGGTTTACTCTTGAAGGCTATAAATAGGGGGATTTCATTATGGTTTTTTAAGTATCCCAAGAAGAAAGTGAGAATTAGAAAGCTGTGTGGGAAATTCTCTTGGGTGTAATTATTTATGAGAAAATTATTGAGAATGTGAGTGATTGTAATCTTCTTGAACGACAATGGTTTTTCTCGGTTTTGGAGTTTCCACTTAATTCTTGTGTTGTGAGATTGAGTTTTCAATTCTCCAATTTCTCTATCTCTATATTGTGTGACATTTATACCCAACATTGTCTATATACAGGAGATCAATGAGACTGGCTCGTAGTGGACCATGGAATGGAATTTACTTTGGATTGATTTCATCGGATCCAGACATGAGTATTGAACCAATTCTGGTTGATAGTCAGGATGAGATTTATTACACATACAAGTCTTACAACAACCCAACTATCATGCTATTAAAACTAAACAAATCAGGTACTGTGCAGCGGCTAATATGAAAGAGAGAAGCTCTCAGTGAATGCTGTGTACTCAGGGCCATCTGATCCCTGTGGACATTATGGGAATTGTGGTACTAATACCGATTGCAGCAATAACAAGACACATCTTTGCGAGTGTTTGAAGGGGTTTAAGCTCAAATCACAGCACAACCAGACTTGGCCTAAAACATTTGTGACAAGTTCTCGATTTGATTACGAAAGTGAAGGCAAGTTTATGAAGCTTTCTGGGATTAAATTGCCTGACTTTCTAGAGGTCTCACTAAACGAAAGTATGAATCTTAGAGATAGTGACGCCAAGTGTTTGAAGAACCGTTCTTGTAGAAATTATGCTATTTCTAATGTAACTGGAGGAGGCAGTGGCTATTTGATGTGGTTTGGGGACTTGATTGACATCAAGAAAATAACAAACGGAATGGATGTATACATAAGAATGTGAGAGCTTCAGAATAAGGTATGTTTTATTTTATTAGGCAGTGTACATGCTCTTGTTGACATAGTGAAACAAAATGCATTTTAGCCTTACTAGTTTTAGAGAGAGGTCTGCGTTTTCAATCAGACTTGAGTAGTGTAAATAAACGTAATGAATATTCACTCTTCTCATTCATAGCTTAAAAGAATACATATTTATATACACTTGTTATCAATCTAAATTAGGATAAAAGTGATCCCTATAATCAAGGATTTTAATGTGATCCCTATAATCTAGGAAGTCATATACATCTATAACACTCCCCCTCAAGCTGGAGTATAGATATCAATCATACCCAGCTTGTTACAAAGATAATCAACTCGAATCCCAGTTAGAGCCTTTGTGAAGATATCTCCCAATTGTTCTCCAATCTTCTCGTACCCAGTGGAAATCAGACCTTGTTGTAGTTTCTCATGGATGAAATGGCAATCGATCTCAATGTGTTTTGTTCGTTCATGGAACACTGGATTATATGCAATATGAAGAGCCGCTTGGTTATCACACCATAATTTCGCTGGTACTGAAGTTTCAAGGCCTATTTCAGTCAGGAACTGATATATCCACATTATTTCACAAACAGCTTGTGCCATAGCCCTATATTCCGACTCTGCACATGATCATGACACAACATTCTACTTCTTAATCTTCCATGATATTAAATTTCCTCTGACAAAGACACAATAGCCTGATGTGGATCTTCTATCTACCTTGGAACTTGCCCAATCTGCATCTGAGAAACATTCAATATGAGAGTGACTATGATTGGCATATAATATACCGCGTCTAGGGGCTCTTTTCAAATAACACAAGATCTGCTCCAAAGTCGCCCAATGATGAACTATTGGGGAGGCCATAAATTGACTGACAACACTTGCTAAATATGCAATATCTGGACGAGTCACCGTAAGATAGTTCAACTTCCCGACCAATCTTCTATATTTCTCAGGATCTCCAAATAGTTCACCATCTTTCGTAAGCTGTACATTAGGAACCATCGGAATACTACATGGCTTTGCCCCCAATTTCCCTGTCTCGGTTAATAAGTCGAGCACATATTTCCTCTGAGAGAGGAATATACCTCGTTCGCTCCTTGTAACTTCAACCCCTAAAAAATCCTTCAATATCCCTAAGTCTTTTGTGTGGAACTGGGTATGGAGAAAAGACTTAAGAGATGTGATGCCCACACTGTCACTCCCAGTAATAACAATATCATCCATATACACAACTAGAAGAATGATGCCAATTTCAGACCGTTTGTAGAAAACAGAATGGTTAGTTTTGCATTTCAGCATACCAAATCTCTCAACAGCCTGACTAAACTTTCCAAACCAAGCACGAGGACTCTGTTTTAAACCATACAGAGATTTGCGAAGATAACATACTTTCCCATACTCCCCCTCAGCAACAAACCCATGAGGTTGCTCCATATATACCTCTTCCTAAAGATCACCGTGAAGAAAAGCACTCTTGATGTCTAGCTGATGCAAAGGCTAATCATAAGTCGCTGCCATAGAGATAAACAGCCGAATAGAGGTAAACTTAGCCACAGGGGAAAAAGTATTAGAATAATCAACTCCGTAAGTCTGAGCATATCCTTTAGCAACCATACGAGCTTTTAGTCGAGCAACTGACTCATCTGGATTAACTTTAACTGTAAACACCCATTTGCATCCAATTGCTTGTTTCCCTAAAGGCAAATCTACCAATTTCCAAGTACCATTGTCATCTAAGGCATTCATTTCCTCTATCATTGCATTACGCCAATCAAGATGAGAAATGGCTTCATGACCAATTTTAGGAATAGTAATAGAATTAAGGGAAGCAATAAAGGAGTATGATGAATGTGACAAATGATCATAAGAAACACAAGAAGAAACAGGATAAGTATACTGTCATTTACCTTTTCGCAATGCAATAGGAAGATCATCACTTGAAACTGGATCGGATGACGAAGAAGTTAGTGCCGGACATGAAACAGGAGGAGGTGGACAACGAGAGTAGACTCTGACAGGAGCAGGATCAAAGATAGGAGCTGATGTAGGAAGCGTAGGAATAGTGATAGGGTCAGAGACAGGAGCCGGTTCAGATATTGGTGCAGGGGAAGTGAAGGTATAAACTAACAAATCATCATTATCATCATCCTTCAGACAATCTGTAGGAGAAAAGGGAAAGTATGGTGTTTCTTCTAGAAAGGTAACATCAATGGAAACAAGATACTTATTAAGACTTAGACAATAACGTCGATATCCTTTTTGAAGTCGAGAATAACCAAGAAAGACACATTTTAATGACTTGGGATCTAATTTAGTGACTGATGGTCGAACATNAAGGGGAAACGAATCATTTCAATGGTTAACTTACAGTGAAAAATTTCCATCAACCAACTTGAAGCATCCTATTTCATATGTCGTCGCAAGTGGTTTCTAAACTATAGTTCTACCATCATTCCACCACTCATTTCAATCATAGGGTTAAAATGATGACAATTCAAAACATAAGAACACCAAGAGTTATAATAAAGGAGTGAGCCACATGAGCAAAATAATTTAGCAAATTAAAATTTTGTTGATAAATAGTTTGACTCTCTAAATCGAGTAAAATTCTGTAAAGTCTGGCTACTAAAAGTTTGAACAACCTAACTGCTGAGTCTATCTTGTTCCTCTAAGTGGCTCATCTTCTGCACTGTACTCAAAAATTAAAAAGGTGTACTTTACAAAGAAGGGAAGATATACCACAACATAAGGCGATAAAGAAGCCTCTTTTACAAATATTAAATTAACAATTATTGTAGAAGAAAAGACATATCATATCAAGTCTAGTGAAACTAGAGATCTTGTAATTAGTTACTTGTAGATTTAAACAGAAATGGATTAAACGTTGTCATATAATTACTTAAATAGCCTAAAAGGAAATGAGACATTCGGTGTGAATCTAACTATAAGTAAAAGTTAAACATTAAGAAAAAATATTAAAACCAAGACTCTAGTTTGGTTCTCATAACATGAAGAAACTAGGCCACCTAATCTGTCATTAAAAATTAAAACATATTCAACTCAAATCATATAAAACTAGGTTCCAACGACAACTAGAATCAACATTACAGATCAAGAAAGATATATATATCACTCTGAGGAGTTTATGCCTCGGATTATACACAACAATCTTTTATTCAAATAATTCNGGTGTAATTATTTATGAGAAAATTATTGAGAATGTGAGTGATTGTAATCTTCTTGAACGACAATGGTTTTTCTCGGTTTTGGAGTTTCCACTTAATTCTTGTGTTGTGAGATTGAGTTTTCAATTCTCCAATTTCTATATCTCTATATTGTGTGACATTTATACCCAACATTGTCTATATACAGGAGATTAATGAGACTGGCTCGTAGTGGACCATGGAATGGAATTTACTTTGGATTGATTTCATCGGATCCAGACATGAGTATTGAACCAATTCTGGTTGATAATCAGGATGAGATTTGTTACACATACAAGTCTTACAACAACCCAACTATCATGTTATTAAAACTAAACAAACCAGGTACTATGCAGCGGCTAATATGAAAGATAGGAGCTCTCAGTGAATGCTGTGTACTCAGGGCCATCTGATCCCTGTGGACATTATGGGAATTGTGGTACTAATACCGATTGCAGCAATAACAAGACACATCTTTGCGAGTGTTTGAAGGGGTTTAAGCTCAAATCACAGCACAACCAGACTTGGCCTAAAACATTTGTGACAAGTTATCGATTTGATTGCAAAAGTGAAGGCAAGTTTATGAAGCTTTCTGGGATTAAATTGCCTGACTTTCTAGAGGTCTCACCAAACGAAAGTATGAATCTTAGAGATAGTGACGCCAAGTGTTTGAAGAACTGTTCTTGTAGAAATTATGCTATTTCTGATGTAACTGGAGGAGGCAGCGGCTATTTGATGTGGTTTGGGGACTTGATTGACATCAAGAAAATAACAAACGGAATGGATGTATACATAAGAATGTGAGCTTCAGAATAAGGTATGTTTTAGTTTATTAGGCAGTGTACATGCTCTTGTTTACATAGTGAAACAAAATGCATTTTAGCCTTACTAGTTTTAGAGAGAGGTCTGTGTTTTCAATCAGACTTGAGTAGTGTAAATAAACGTAATGAATATTCACTCTTCTCATTCATAGCTTAAAAGAATATATATTTATATACACTTGTTATCAATCTAAATTAGGATAGAAGTGATCCCTATAATCAAGGATTTTAAGGATAGAGGTGATCCCTATAGTCAAGGATTTTAATGTGATCCCTATAATCTAGGAAGTCATATACATCTATAACACTCCCCCTCAAGCTGGAGTATAGATATCAATCATACCCAGCTTGTTACAAACACTACAACAAAAAGGGTTTTTAGCTACAAATTTTTTTGTTGTTAAAAACCTAGAAATTGTTGCGGTATATGTTTAGCAACGAAAAAAAATCATCGCCATGATCGTCGCGGTAAGCATGTCGCGCTTGATTTTAGGTGACAATTTGTTAAAAGTCGTCGCTAAATTTGGCGACAAACCAAAAAATTGTCGCCTATACCATTTTCGTCGCTAAAACTAATTACCGGTGAAATATTAAATGTCGTTGCCTAAAGTTAATAGCAGCGTACTCTCTATTGTGTCGCCTACTCTATACTGCGACGAGATGTGTGTTTTTGTAGCTTAACATATATAGCGACGAGATGTGTGTTTTTGTAGCTTAACATATACCGCGACGAGATGTGTGTTTTTGTAGCTTAACATATACCGCGACAAGATGTGTGTTTGTGTCACTTAACGTATACCACGACGAAATGTGAATTTTGCTCGCCTACAATATACCGCGACGAAATGTGCATTTTTGTTGCATAAAGTTAATAGCAACATTATAATTGTATGCATAGCTTAACGTATACAGTGACGAAATGTGACGTTTTGTCGCCGAACATGTAGTGCGATAAAATATGTGTTGTTGTCGCCTAAAGCTAATAGCAACGTATTCTCTGTATGTGTCATTTAAAGTATAACACGATGGTACTTTATATTTTATCACTTGAAACTATTAGCGATGAAACGTAAAAGTCATCGACAAAACTTTTCAACGTAGAATGTATTTCATAGCTAAAAGTCTACAACGTCGAAATATAATTGTGGTCGCTTATATATATATATATATATATATATATATATTAAAGATAATAAACTCGAATCCTAGTTAGAACCTTTGTGAAGATATCTCCCAATTGTTCTCCAATCTTCACGTACCCAGTGGAAATTAGACCTGGCTGTAGTTTCTCACGGATGAAATGGCAATCGATCTCAATGTGTTTTGTTCATTCATGGAACACTGGATTAGATGCAATATGAAGAGCCGCTTGGTTATCACACCATAATTTTGTTGGTACTGAAGTTTCAAGGCCTATTTCAGTCAGGAACTGATATATCCACATTATTTCACAAACAGCTTGTGCCATAGCTCTATATTCCGACTCTGCACTTGATCGTGACACGACATTCTGCTTCTTGCTTTTCCATGATATTAAATTTCCTCCGACAAAGACACAATAGCCTGATGTGGATCTTCTATCTACCTTGGAACCTGCCTAATCTGCATCTGAGAAACATTCAATATGAGAGTGACTATGATTGACATATAATATATCGCGTCCAGGGGCTCTTTTCAAATAACACAAGATCTGCTCCAAAGCCGCCCAATGATGAACTGTTGGGGAGGCCATAAATTGACTGACAACACTTACTGAATATGCAATATCTGGATGAGTCACCGTAAGATAATTCAACTTCCCGACCAATCTTCTATATTTCTCAGGATCTCCAAATAGTTCACCATCTTTCATAAGTTGCACATTAGGAACCGTCGGAACACTACATGGCTTTGCCCCCAATTTCCTTGTCTCAGTTAATAAGTTAAGCACATATTTCCTCTGAGAGAGGAATATATCTCGTTTGCTCCTTGTAACTTCAACCCCCAAGAAATACTTCAATATCCTTANTATGAAGTTTTTAACTTAAAATTTTTAATTCAGCTTTCATACTAATCTAAGAATTCTTGTCCTCCAGCAGCTTCCCAGATTACAAATTACAATAAAAATCTACAAGGTAAAACATAATAAGATATTCTAAGCATTATAAGAAGAAAAGTCATGAGCTTTCATTGTTGCTTGAAAAATGGCTTCATGCTTATATTTCGACGAAAAATTATACTAAAGCATTGAGAAAACGAAGCATCAACAAGTGAAATATAAAAAGAGAAAATAATTACAAGAACAAAATACAAGACAAAGAAATACTACCACTAAACTTCTTGAAAGCAAGAAAAAATAACATGAACACAACAGCAGAGGGATGAATGAAAAACTTATGAGACGAACATAACATGATTCTAACCATATTTTGGGCATCTGAATCAACAACAGACAACGAATGGTATCCATAAACATCCTAATTAACCAATTTCTACTCTTCTGCCTTCTTTCCTACAGCCTCAAGTTTGAAATTAGTAAAACCCCATATAAGATTAAAAGAAAAAGATCAACAACTTTCTCACAACGTTAGGTTAAGAAAAAAATTCGAAGCCCAACAGTAAAAATTCCATTAGTGTGAAGAGTGAAAAATTGGTTAGTAGAGAATTTCATAGAGCTCATAGTATCAACAACCATGAAAATCAAAAGCACTTCCCCAACTCTTGTAGAGATCATAAAAGTAAAAGTAATATTTCCATGAGCTTCAGAATTAAGTGTCCTGGTAAATGATGAAGCTTTGAAATATTTTATAGAAGCAAAATGTTGCTCAACCGAAATTCATCCATCAAGACGATCGTTGGAATACTTCGTAACTCCAAAGAGTCCTATTTGCATGTGAAAAGCAGTAACAATAGTTGTCAAAATCAACTAACTTCAGCGCTCAAGCTGAACATATAAATATAAATTTTAACATCATTTAGATTTGGAAGCAAACTGTAAAATAAACGTAATGAATATTCACACTTCTTATTCATAGCTTAAAAGGATACATATTTATATACACTTGTAATATTCTAAACTAGGTAGGTGATCAATCTAAATTAGGATAGAAGTGATCCCTGTAATCAAGGATTTTAATGTGATCCCCATCATCTAGGAAGTCATATACATCTATAACACCCCCCCTCAAGCTGGAGTATAGATATCAATCATACCTAGCTTGTTACAAAGATAATCAACTCGAATCCCAGTTAAAGCCTTTGTGAAGATATCTCCCAGTTGTTCTCCAGTCTTCACATACCCAGTGGAAATCAGACCTTGTTGTAGTTTCTCACGGACAAAATGGCAATCAATCTCAATGTGTTTTGTTTGTTCATGGAACACTGGATTAGATGCAATATGAAGAGCCGCTTGGTTATCACACCGTAATTTCGCTGGTACTGAAGTTTCAAGGCCTATTTCAGTCAGGAACTGATATATCCACATTATTTCACAAACAGCTTGTGCCATAGCCCTATATTCCAACTCTGCACTTGATCATGACACGACATTCTGCTTCTTGCTCTTCCATGATATTAAATTTCCTCCAACAAAGACATAATAGCCTGATGTGGATCTTCTATCTACCTTGGAACCTGCCCAATCTGCATATCAGAAACATTCAATATCAGAGTGACTATGATTGGCATATAATATACCGCGTCCAAGGGCTCTTTTCAAATAACATAAGATCTGCTCCAAAGTTTCCCAATGATGAACTGTTGGGGAGGCCATAAACTGACTGACAACATTTACTGAATATGCAGTATCTGGACGAGTCACCGTAAGATAGTTTAACTTCCCGACCAATCTTCTATATTTCTTAGGATCTCCAAATAGTTCACCATCTTTCGTAAGCTGCACATTAGGAACCATCGGAACACTACATGGCTTTGCCCCCAATTTCCCTGTCTCAGTTAATAAGTCGAGCACATATTTCCTCTGAGAGAGGAATATACCTCGTTTGCTCCTTGTAACTTCAACCCCTAAGAAATACTTCAATATCCCTATGTCTTTTGTGTGGAACTGGGTATGGAGAAAAGACTTAAGAGATGTGATACCCAGATTGTCACTCCCAGTAATGACAATATCATCCACATACACAACTAGAAGAATGATGCTAGTTTCAGATTGTTTGTAGAAAACAGAATGGTCAGTTTTACATTTCAGCATACCAAATCTCTCAACAGCCTGACTAAACTTTCCAAACCAAGCACGAGGACTTTGTTTTAAACCATACAGAGATTTGCAAAGATAACATACTTTCCCATACTGCCCCTAAGTAACAAACCCAGGAGGTTGCTCCATATATACCTCTTCCTGAAGATCGCCGTGAAGAAAAGCATTCTTGATGTCTAGCTGATGCAAAGGCCAATCATAAGTAGCTGCCATAGAGATAAACAGCCGAATAGAGGTAAACTTAGCCACAGGGGAAAAAGTATCAAAATAATCAACTCCGTAAGTCTGAGCATATCCTTTAGCAACCAGACGAGCTTTTAGTCAAGCAACTGACCCATCTGGATTAACTTTAACTGTAAACACCCATTTGCATCCAATTATCTGTTTCCCTGAAGGTAAATCTACCAATTTCCAAGTACCATTGTCATTTAAGGCATTCATTTCCTCTCTCATTGCATTACACCAACCAGGATGAGAAAGGGCTTCATGAACAGTTTTAGGGATAGTAATAGAATCAAGGGAAGCAATAAAGGAACATGATGAATGTGACAAATGATCATAAGAAACACAAGAAGAAACAGGATAAGTACACTGTCGTTTACCTTTTCGAAATGCAATAGGAAGATCATCACTTGAAACTGGATCGGATGATGAAAAAGTTGGTGCCGAACATGAAACAGGAGGAGCTGGACGACGAGAGTAAACTTTGACAGGAGCAGGAGCAGGAGCAGGATCAGAGATAAGAGCCGATGTAGGAAGTGTAGGAATAGTGACAAGGTCGGAGAAGATGCCGATTTAGATATTGGTGCAAGGGAAGTGAAGGTATAAACTAACAAATCATCATTATCATCATCCTTCAGACGATCTGCAGGAGAAGAGGGAAAGTATGGTGTTTCTTCTAGAAATGTAACATCAATGGAAACAAGATACTTAAGACTTAGACAATAACACCGATATCCTTTCTGAAGTCGAGAATAACCAAGAAAGACACATTTTAATGACTTGGGTTCTAATTTAGTGACTGATGGTCGAACATCCCGAACAAAGCAAGTGCTACCAACTACCCTAGGTTCAAGAGGAAATAATGCTTTGTTAGGAAAAAGAATACTGTACGGGGTCTCACCATGAAGGACAGAAGACGGCATACGGTTAATCAAAAAGCAGGCAGTGGAAACAGCATTAGCCTAGAATGGTATATGAACATTCATTTGGAATAATAACGCTTTGGCAGTTTCAAGAAGATGTCTGTTTTTCCGTTCTGCTATTCCGTTTTGAGATGGAGTATCAACACATGAAGTTTGATGAAGAATGCGATTCTGGGTCATGTAATTTTGAAAAGAAACTGATAGATATTCTTTTGCATTATCACTGCGCAATGTATGAATAGAAACATTGAATTGAGTTTTAATCTCAGTACAAAAAGCACAGAAATAAGAAAACAAATCACATCAGAGTGAGCTAACTCAAAGGGAGAATTAACTATTTTATTGACTCTAGGACTAAAACTAACACGATGATGTTTAGCAAACTGACATGACTCACACTATACTATAGACACTTTATTAAACTGAGGACACAATCTCTTCAGTGAAGGAAGAGATGGATGGCCCAACGACAATGTGCTTAAAACGGGGATGCAACACTAGAACAAGCGACAAGTGTAGATTTTGGTCTGTCGAGAATGTATAAACCTGTAACACCTGCTCTTTACTACTATTCTTAAAGTTCATACTATGTAAATTATAGAGATACATAGCGTATGAAAAATAGTGAGCTCAAATTTTTCTTTACTCATAAAATATAATTCTTTACCAATACAAAATACTATGTATTAAAAACTTTCTACTTAATACAAAATATCATAACTGGTGGACAGTAGTGCCAATACTCTCCGCTCCTCGACGTTCATCCGACCGCTGCTCCTATTTCCTGCAAAACAGGGAAGAACAATAGGGTGAGCCCAACAATGCTCAGTAAGTAATTCCTCTACTACCTGTCCCCGTAACTCACTCTTTGGTTCTTTTCTTACTCTATCGTTCTTCTATTTCTAATTCTCACTGTTTTTCTCTTTCTTTCTAATACTTTTATTCTCCTTTAACTCTGTTCTGCTCTTTTTATTCTTTCTTTCTCTCTGTTCTTATTCTCTTATTCATACTCACCATGAAGGAAAATCATGGTTCTCTCTTGTTCTCATCATACTCACCATGAAGGAAAATCATGGTTTTCTCTCTCTTATTCTCGTCATACTTTCACTAACCATGGAAGAAATCATGGTGCATGCATGTATGAGATGTACATGCAACTAATGCAAAAGAAATACATGTTTCTTTCTTTTACTCTCTATTCTTACTAGCTCAAACTCTCTCATTCTTTCTCATACTCTCTCTCTTTCTATCTCATTCTTTCTCAAGCTTTCTCATTCTTTAATTCTCTCTATTATCTCATTCTCATTTCTCATAATTCATTTCTACTAACTTGCTCTTTGAATGTCACAGCCCTGTCGTATCGGAGGCCCGGCCAGGACTTCTCTCGCTCTACGTGACTTCTACTGATTCTCTTTCTGTCTCTCTTNTCATGATTGCCATTTGCTCCCGTTGTTTTTGTTGAACTTTGACATCAGCACTGAAGGGTAACAACATGTTCAACACTTCATAAGTCTTCTTAAACTCCATAAAATAGGCTGTAAGAGACTTATCTTGTTTCTCTTCATGGTAGAATGCCTTACACACTTCATAAATATGATAAACATTCCCTTTTCTAGAATACAGAAACTCCAAATAATTCATCAGCTCTTTAATAAACTCACAATGATTAATTAGGCCAAGTACCTCACCGTCAATAGAGTTCCGTATTTGTAGAATCAACCGAGCATCATCCTGGAGCCATGTCTTTTTCAAATCATCCTCAGGTGGATCATCAGTCATATGATCATCTTTATCAATACTCCGCAAATACAGTATAATGGTTTTACGCCAATCATGGTAATTAGTTATACCAATGAGCTTATGTTATGTAATTTTCGACATCGTTGGTATCATTTCCATCACTGGCTTTGTATCAGACATGTTTTAAATAGATGATAATCCCAATGCACACCAACAAACAGTTAAAACAAAGCAAACCAACTAAATTCAGTGACAGACCAAATCAATCAATAGTCACCACCAACCAGAGGCCACAGCAAGCAAAAAACCAATAACCAAACGAAAACAAAGTGCCGAAAGATCACAACTAAGTCCTCAGAAATATCCAAACAAAGGACAGCAGTGAACCAGTAAGAGATTACCCAATCCAGCACGAAAATGTGCTGTACAAGTACCGACGAAGCAGACGAAGAGAATTAGAGGAGAAGTCAGCTATGCACATGCTCTCACGCCCCGGCGCATGTTACTGTTCACCGAAGTTTCAGGTGGCGCGTGGAGCTCACGCGCGGCGATTCTGATGGCTAGAACTTAGGGTTTTGCCTATCAGCGGCTTCTGAATCTCCCTTGGGTGGCGGTGTTGAACAAATCTCAACCTAAACAGGTTTTCCCAATTTGAAACCCAAACCCTAATTTCCCAATTTTGAAACCCAAACCCTAATTTCCCAATTTTGAGACGCAAACCCTAATTATCTTTTAAGGCTCTGATACCATGTAAATAAACGTAATGAATATTCACTCTTCTCATTCATAGCTTAAAAGAATACATATTTATATACACTTGTTATCAATCTAAATTAGGATAGAAGTGATCCCTATAATCAAGGATTTTAAGGATAGAAGTGATCTCTATAATCAAGGACTTTAATGTGATCCCTNAGAGAAAATGGGAGATGAAGAGGCGGTGGAAATGGGTGAAATGAAGGGGTTTAGAGAACTAAACTCTTATTAGCTCATATAATAAACACTCTTTCCCATTTTGCCCTTACTCTTTCTTGAAAATTCCACCTTTATCCTTTGATTCATTGCACTCACACCCCCACACTAACCTATTCTCCATGAAATTTCATTGCATTTTACTCCCAACTTTTCCTATTAATTAGGGGCAGAATGGTAATTTTTCCCTTAGGAAAGAATTCTCTAGAAACTCAAACAAAAACTCAGTCGGCCCTTCACCGCGGCGAACGATTCTCTGTCGCCCCGACGAAGAATTATAGAACCGACATTGCCATACACAAAGCCAACGCCGCCGCGGTGAAGACTACAACTCCAAAATCCGTTAAGTTTTGATCAATTTCAGGGTAAACACTCAACCTAACCCAAAACATAAACTCAACCAAGGGCCAACCAAACAACATGAATAATATACAAACTCATTTAGGGGCAATTCAATAAACCTTGTGGCCATACCATAAACAATGGCTATATATCTCAAGTGGGGCATTACAAAACCTCCAGATTCATGTCCTTTACCAATAATCTTCTTCGTCGTAAGATCCTGAAACAAGCAATAATCAAAAAAGAATAAAATACAACAATTAAGAGCACGAGTAAGTTGGCTAACATAAATCAAATTGAAAGAAAAATCTGGTAAATGTAAGACATTTGACAAGGGAAGCTGAAGAATAGGGGTAACTGTGCCAGACCCAAGAACGTAGGATGGTGACCCATCTGCTAAAGTCACATTCGAAAGGGTTTTTGATTGATACGTAGCAAAGAGACTAGGATTACTTGACATGTGATCTGTTGCACCAGAGTCAATGACGAATTTGGAGGATAAGGAAAGGAGACATGTATTTGGCTTACCTGAGTCAGCTATAGCCATGACAGGAGTAGGTGAAGCCTTTAATGATTCCTGGTACAATGAAAACTTGACAAATTCATCTGTAGAGATAAGAACTGACTAATCCGAAGTATCATTGGTGGATGCAACTGTAACACCTGCTCTGTACTACTATTCAGATAATGCATACTATGCAAATTATAGACATACATAGCGTATGGAAGATAGTGGGCTCAAACTTTTCTTTACTCATAAAATATAATTTTCTACATATACAAAGTACTCTATATTAAAAATTTTCTACTTAATATAAAATATCATAACTGGTGGACAGTAGTGCCAATACTCTCCGCTCCTCGACGTCCATCCGACAGCTGCTNTAATGAATATTCACTCTTCTCATTCATAGCTTAAAAGAATACATATTTATATACACTTGTTATCAATCTAAATTAGGATAGAAGTGATCCCTATAATCAAGGATTTTAAGGATAGAAGTGATCTCTATAATCAAGGATTTTAATGTGATCCCTATAATCTAGGAAGTCATATACATCTATAACAAGTAGGATTCAAATGGTCACAAACAAGATGGTGACATAAATCCCAAAATATCTGACTTTGGCTTGGCAAGAATGTTTGTTGGCGAAGAGATACAAGCAAATACTTGACGGATTGTTGGAACACTGTAAAGTAAATTTGAAATTTTGAACTATTTTTAATCCTTGCCCATACAGTATTTTCTTGTTTTGTCTTCATTATCAATTCAAGATGGTAAAATGTTTGTTTGAATGATGAAGTTCAGTGGTTATATGTCACCTGAGTATGCCCTGCAAGGCCTCTTCTCAGTAAAATCTGATGTATATAGCTTCAGAATACTGCTGCTGAAGACTAATAAGCAAGAAGAACACAGGCTTCCACCATAAGGACTCTCATAATCTATAGGATATGTAGGTGACAATATTTTTTATTTTTTTATCTTTTTTCTATAATGTATTAAGTTACAAGAAGAATATTATTGAATTGTTTGATGTCCATAGTCTTTCTATAAGTATAATGGAAAGGTTAAGAATTTGATCACTTCAAAGGTTTTGCTTTTCTTCGGGTGTGGAAACTGTGGAGAGATGATAAAGCTCTGGAGTCTGGACCTGATGGATCCTGTATTGGTAAACGAAGCATCATATCCAATTCTTATAAGATACATTGAAGTGGCACTCCTCTGTGTACAAGAGAACGCAACCAATAGACCAACCATGTCAGAAGTAGTCTCAATGCTTACAAAATGAGCTTCTTGCTTTACCTACTCCAAAGCAGCCAGCTGTTTGTTACATGAATAGTTCAAAAAATCCAATTCCTCCTGTATCAAATCCTCCTACATGCTTGCCTGAAGCTTGTCCAATGAATGACATAACAAATACAGAAATGGAAGCTCGATAGCTTTCGTGGCCTCAGTTCATGGTTAGTTCCTATTCAGAGTTCATCTCGGTTGTAAAAGTTAAAATGACAATGTCTACATTAATTACTACTAAATTGCAAAATAAAACTGCATGCTTATTAATAAAACCATTTATATGTTGTTTTGATGATTTTGTTTTCTTTGTCTTGCTATTAGGAAAATGCAACGCATTGAATTTTGGATATCTTATATCTTTTGATTTTCCATGTGTGTTTCTCCTAACCAGAATAGGAAAATTAATGAACCTGTTGAACCGTTGAATTTTCTTTATGACAGGAGAGCGTATTTCAACATAACCGGAGACATATCATAAGATGGAGAAAAAATGAATGAGACAAAACAAGACTGTTTTGTATATTCAGTGCTTAGAAGAAAAAGAAGCAAATAGCCTTGGAGTCAGTATGTAATTTCAATTCCTTACATTCCATCATTTAGTTTTTGACTATTTTTTGCCAGTTTTTTGGATATAACTTTGGTGGAGTCCGAAGTTAAGATTGCAGGCATTTACCATGAAGTCTACGACTAGTAGTTGTCTCCATATTGTTCTAATTTCAAATCCAATAAGTGGAGGGCCTTCAGCTGTCAAGAATGACCAAAAACAAAAGTTTTGATAGCCACAAACAGAAAAGTTTCTCCTGCATTTGTAAGAGGTCCTCCATTTCAAGTTGACAAAGAAACCATATCACACAAATTCCACAACTATTATAGCATACACAAATAGAGACCAATTTTCATGAGGTGAGAGTGGAATTTGGAATCTTACATCATTTGGTTAGAAAAAATTGATTTCTCAAATAGGAGTGATCACTATCTACAGTAAGAGGATAATATGCATTTCATATTTTCTATGAAGCCACTGATTGCTAATTGATATGTTTGAATTTTTTTTAATAATGCATTGACTTAACTTTTTGGCTTTTAGATGCCATGTAATTCCTTTATGTTAATAGATTTTGCTATTGGATTCAAGATTTCTGCACTTTGCCGTTTATGACAATTACTCCTAAGTTTACACTGTGGTAATGAATTTTTGCTGGTACTATGATTTTGCCCTTCTTTTAACTAATCATCTGCCTGTTCTGTCCTTTCTCTTGTTATGCAAGAGACAAGATTTAGTGGTCTCCTCACTGAACCAATATATCAAATTTTGCATGAACATAATCAGGAAAAAATTGTATGCAATATTCTTGAGGATGTTTATGTTCAATCAGGAAAAAAGAGAACTTATGCAGTACTCTGTGGTATCTTTATATTTGCAATATCAATATGTCTGGCTTACATCTCCCAACATTCCGATATTTTTACTAACAGATGTATGAATGAAGAGCTTTCTATTCTTCCACATCTTTAGCTCTTTCATTGTTTTATCTGGCATTAAATTGTCATTAGCAGCTGATACCATTAGTCCGGCACAATTCATCCATGATGGTGAGAAGTTAATTTCATCAGCCAAAAGGTTTGAGCTAGGCTTCTTTTCTCCTGGAAGCTCAAAGAACAGGTACCTCGGAATATGGTACAGGAAAAGCCCTGAGATGGTTGTGTGGGTTGCAAACAGAAACAGACCTATTATAGATCCTCATGGAGCCTTAACCATTAGCAATAATGGAAACCTTGTCCTTCTTGATCAAAGAAAGGGCATTGTCTGGTCTTCAAGCATATATAGAAAAGTAAAGAATCCAGTGGCAGAACTCTTGGATTCCGGAAACTTTATTCTCAGAGACAATTTAAGCACCAGTTCTGACAGCTATCTGTGGCAAAGCTTTGATCATCCATCAGACACATTGTTGCCAGGCATGAAGTTGGGCTGGGACTTAAACGCTGGTCTGGAGCTATACTTAACGTCATGGAGAAGTGGTGATGATCCATCCTCTGGAGACTTTACGTTCAGACTTGACATTCATGTGTTACCTCAAACGGCCATATACAGGGGATCAATTAAATTGGCCCGAACCGGACCCTGGAATGGCGTTTACTTTGGAGGCACTTCTGCAAACCCAAATTTGCTTTTTGTACCAATTTTGGTACATAATCAGGATAAGATTTATTACAGGTATGAGTGTTTCAACAATCCAATTATTATGCTATTAAAAATCAACCAATCAGGAATGATGCAGCGTCTAATATGGAAAGAGAGGAGCGCTGGATGGGATATCGTGTACTCAGCTCCAGAAGATTTGTGTGAAAATTATGGTAGGTGTGGTGCTAATGGTGTTTGCAGCATTGACAAAACACCTATTTGTGAATGTTTGAAGGGTTTCATATCCAAGTCAGAACAGAATCAGTCTTCAGCTATAACATGCGTGCCAAGTTCCTCATTAGATTGTACTAGTGGAGACAGGTTCACAAAGCTTGCTGATATTAAATTGCCTGACCTTCTAGAGGTCTCACTTAATGAGAGTATGAATCTCCAGGAATGTGAGAACAAGTGCTTGAAGAACTGTTCTTGTAGAGCTTATGCCAATTTCAATGTTACCAGAGGCAGTGGCTGTTTGATGTGGTTTGGTGACCTGATTGATATCAGAAAGCTCCTCGAAACCAAAGGGCGACAGGATGTATACATACGAGTAAAAGCTTCAGAAGTAGGTATGTTTATTTTCATAGTGCTACTCTTTTAACTTATTCTATAGAATAGGTAGACATGATAAGCTTTACCCCTCAGATAAATTTTTTTTTTATTTCTTTTTCACTTTTGAACTTGCCTTTTCTCAATTGGGAAACTATCAACTCTTGGCTGTCACAACTTTTCAATCAATCTGTTCTGGTTGTGGTGGCTGTGCATGATGTTTTTTTAATCTGCTTCTTCAGTGTTAATTAATAGAAACGAAACTAACAATGGATTTTCAACAGATCCAGCACAAAGGCCAAATAAAGGAAACAGGAAGAAGTTATGGATAATGGTCACTATTGTCACTTCTCTGACAATGGTCACTTTGGGTTCTATTATTCTTTATGCGAGGAGAAAGCTCTTAAGGAAAGGTAACACTTTCTGATAGCATGATATGGTTTTGAGTGTAAAAATATCCTTTAAAATATAGATTTCTTTTTCTTTCTTTTTACCATTGTAGGGGAGAATTTGTTACTATTTGATATGGGTATGAGTCTAAAATCTGATGATCCGGAACTCCCTGAAGCAAATAAGCTTGGAAAAAACAGCAGGAGGGAAGTTAAATTGCCTTTGTTCACTTTTGCCAGTGTTTCTGCTGCAACAAACAATTTCTCAGTCACAAACAAGCTGGGAGAGGGTGGTTTTGGGCCTGTTTACAAGGTAAAACTTTATTGTCTAGTAGCAATTGGCCTACTTCTATGAAATTTCAGGTAGAAAACCTTACCAGGTTAAGAAAGTTCCATTTCAGGGAATACTACTGAAAGGAGATGAAATAGCTGTGAAAAGACTTTCAAGAAGGTCTGGACAAAGATGGGAGGAGTTACGAAATGAAGCCGTTCTTATTGCCAAGCTCCAGCACAAAAATCTTGTTAGACTTCTGGGATGTTGCATTGAGCGAGATGAAAAGATTCTGATCTATGAATACATGCCAAATAAAAGCTTAGATTTATTCCTCTTTGGTTTGTATATCAGACAGTTTCAGATATATTTATGACTGTTATCTTTTTTACGGTTTTTCTTTCTGAATTTTACTCTCAATTTCGTTTGATGTGAATCAGATCCAACCAAAAGCAAGAATCTAGATTGGGGCATATGTCTTCTTATCATTGAGAGAATTGCTCAAGGGCTTCTTTATCTACACCAATATTCTAGATTGCGAATTATTCATAGGGATTTGAAGGCTAGCAATATTTTATTAGATAAAGACATGAATCCTAAAATATCTGATTTTGGACTGGCCAGCATTTTTGGTGGGAATGAGTTGCAAGCAAACACTAATAGAATTGTCGGGACTTAGTAAGTGCATAAAGTGAACGAAAAAACTAAATTTAAGACTCCTGCATGGCCTGTAGGTTCTTATCTTATTTGTCTAGCAGACATTTCTAATCATGGACTCAAGTATAATCCTGCAATAATTTTTGCCTTGCAGTGGATATATGTCTCCAGAATATGCTATTGAAGGCATCTTCTCAATAAAATCTGATGTCTTCAGCTTCGGAGTATTGTTGCTTGAGATTATCAGTGGCAAGAAAAATACTGGATTTTATCAAACTGGCTCTCTCAATCTTCTTGGTTATGTAAGTAATAAAAGCTGACTACTTTTTCTGCATGGTTCGGGTTCTTTCTAACTGGTTGTCACAGTTGTAAATTTTTCGTGTTGATTTTAAGGCATGGGATATGTGGACAAGTAACAGGGGATTGGACCTGATAGATCCAGTATTAGAAGATGCATCCTCCGAGCATTTACTGCTAAGATATGTTAACATAGGACTACTTTGTGTTCAAGAAGATGCAGAAGACAGACCCTCCATGTCTGATGTTGTCTCGATGCTTCAGAACGAAACTGTACCACTACCTTGTTCAAACCAACCAGCTTTTTCACATTTAAGTAAAGCAAATTCAAGATCACCTCCTGGCAGACCAGAAAACTATTCTGTCAATGATGTAACTGTTACAAGTTTGGAAGCTCGTTAATTTAAAGGATCAGTTTAACGATCTGAGGATAATTCTAACTATATCTTTTGAATTCAAATGTGTATTGCATGTTGCAATCTGTGTCGTGTTTGTAAATTAATGATACATCAATACTTAGTCACTCAAAGTAATAAGAATTCCCTTTAACATTATGATTTTAAGCAAAAGGTTTTGCATATGGTCATTATAACAAATGCTAATCTGATCCCAATCAGATTTAGTATTCCTACTTTATGCAAATTAAGTTTATATTTCTGTAGCCTGTCTTGTAGTGATTATTGGATTATCTGCTGCAAATCACCTTGTAAATTTTGCTGTACGCATCAGAGAAGTGCATTGGATTCAATGACCAAAACTTATCACATATGTGTAGCATTTTGATAGACTTCCCACATGAGCATTACAGAGAATATATTAAAAAGTAGTCCTTGACTGAAGCTGAGGATGATTCTGGACCACGAATAACATATGGTTACTGGGAATTCATAGACTAAGGCAGACATTTTAAAGGACTGTGACAAGTTAGATGGTGAAAGTCATCAAATAACAGCGGTATATGGACCAAAGTCAAGCGACATAGATTTTCTAAGAAGTTAAGAGGACATGGTTTTGGTGGAGAAATTAATAAATAACTTTGTTGTACCCCTGGAAATTATTACTTCTTTCTGACTACAACAACTATTCGAGACTTCAAAGTTTTAAAACGCAGAAAAACTTGAAAGTTGCAGGGAATGGTACAAAGAGGGTAACCTGTCAAATTTTTTTTCCAGCAAGAACTGACCCAAACTGTTCATTAGACCTGTACATACTCTTTAGCCTCTGGGTTAACCTTGGAGGGCCTTGTTTGTCTTTTATAGTCAATTACTCCTATGTGAAAAGAAAACTTCTTTGATTGGCTTGTTTTTTTTGTAGTTAATTACTTCCACGTGAAATGAATACTTCTTGTACGGTTAATTACTTCCACGTGAATTGAAAACCTCTTTTTATAGTTAATCATTGGAGTTTTTCGAACTTGGATGATCTTGTTTGTTTTTTATGGTTGTATTGGATTTATGGTACAGTTATTAATTGTTGAAATTAGTTTGTTATAATTAGATGGTTAGTTTGTTGTAATTAGTTAATTAGTTAGATTGTACTTAACTGTGGTTGACTTAACCATGGTGAATAAGGTTTTTATATAACAAATATAATAAGCCTCTGTACTCGAGACTGAAGTTGAATAATAGAAACAAAGTTTTACTCTCTCTAAAACAAATTTGAACATGGTATCCAAGCCAAAGTTTTAGCTTCTTCAATCAAGCTCAAAACTTCTTAAATCAAAGATCCCCGGCTTCTCGCTTCTTCAATCAAAGATTTCCAACTTCCTGTAGCTTAAAATTTCTTCAATGGAAGATTCTCAGCTTCGCGGCTTAAAAAGCTATTATGATTGAAGCTTCTCGTCTTTAATTGAGCTTCTCATCTGATTCGACTCGTCTTCAATTGTCTTTAATCAAGCTTCTCTTCTCATTCGTTCAAAATTGCTCACGTCGCCAAATCAAATCGAGCTAATTTCTTCAACAGATGTCAAATGTTACAGATTCAGGTTCACCTCTCTACATTCATCCGTTAGACACCCCTGGTTCAGTTCTAATTTAATAACAACTCACGGGAACAGAGAACTATGGGATATGGAGTCGTGCTATGACAGTCTCTCTAAGGGCAAAGATCAAATTAGGGTTTGTTGATGGTTCTTGCGAGAAGTCAAAGTACAATCAATCTTTGCATGAACAGTGGGAACGTTGTAATTATTTAGTTTTGTCATGGATTTTCAATACTGTTTTGAAGGACATTTTTAATAGCATTGTGTATTCAAACAATGCACATCAAGTTTGGCAAGATCTTCAAGAACCGGATAATAAGATCAATAGAACAAAAGTTTTTGGGATTCATAGGGAGATAGCTAATTTGGTGCAAGGAACAAGTTCGATTGTGGTTTATTACAATAAGTTGAAAACTTTATGGGATGAACTGAGTTCATTGGTGAGTTTGCCGCCACCAGATAGTGACTCAGCCAAGGCTTATTTGCTCATCTCAACCAATAAAAGCTATTACAGTTCCTAATGGGACTTAATGAATCATATGCTTTGGTGCGAAGTCAGATCTTGTTAATGATTCCTCTGCCCTCAGTCAAACAAGCTTATTCTATAGTGCGTCAGATGAGAGTCAGAAAAGTCTGGACTAGCTCTAATCAAACTACCGAGGTTACTACATCACTGTATTCATAAGGAAATCAAAGGAATGATCAGAATCAAAATTCAAAGTGTAAAGGAAAAAAACTCTACATAAAATGTTACTATTGTCATATTGTGGGCTAAGAGGGATACTTGTTACAAACTACACTGCAGATTTCCAGTTCCTAAAGAAAAATTAGGGACAAAGTCAAAGCTAATCAAGCTCATTCTAGTCAGGAACAAGCCACTGAATCTGCTTCTAACAACATCAAGGAGGAGCTAATCTCGGCAATGTCTTGACTCAAGACAGTATGCTCAATTGCTTCAATTGCTGAGCAAGGAGAATATGGGAGCACCATCTGCAAATTTGGCAGATAACATAGTTTCTTTATACTCAAATTATTATATCGGAGATGGTTGGTTTTGATTAGGGCCTAGGACCATATGACCCATAATTTTCGAATTTTTGAATCACTTATTGCTAGCAAGCCTTATAGCTAGTTATTTAGGTCTTCCAAATCGAACAAACCCCAATTGAACATGTGGTTATGTCAAATTGCAAGAAAATTTGTCACTTGAAAAGGTTCTTATATTTACCCGACTTTAAGTATAACTTGATGTCAATATCCAAATTGACTTCTACTGGCACTGTTCTATCAATTTATCTTGATTTTTGTGTTATTTAGGATCTTTGGAGTGGCAAACTGAAGGGATTGGTAGCAATGTCAGGGACTATACCATTTTATACATATTTCAAAAATAAAAAAATATTTTACAACTTTAGTTCCAATTTTAAGCAAAAAGTCCGCTTGTAATAAAGGGTTAGTTTGTGATTCTCAAAATGTATTTTTTGATTCATCAATAAAAGTAGTTTACCTTCAGTTCTGTCTACACATTTGCATAGTACTGATGTTGAATTATTGCACAAGAGGTTAAGGCATGCACCTTTTCCAATTCTTCAAAAATTATGTCATAGTCTTCTTGAACAAAAGGCTTTCATTGTGATGTTTGTCCTTTAGCCAAACAAACTAGATTGCCATTTGCTGTGAACAACCACATCACATGTTTTTGATTTGTTGCATTTAATTTTTGAGGACCATACAGAATTCCAACCCAGTAATGCTAGGTTTTTCCTTACCGCGTTGATGACTTTTCTAACAACTTAGCTTTTCCTTATGCAATTTAAGTCTGATGTGTATCAAACCTTGAAAAATTCCCTTCACATGGTTAAAATCAATACAATCAAACCACCTAAATATCTTAGAACTGACAATTCAAAGTTCTTCAATCATCAATGCCACAATTTATGTCTAGCTTAGGAATTGTACATCAAAGCACTTGTGTTTGTACTCACAACAAAATGGATAGTAGAACATACGCATAGACATATCCTTAATATAGCTGGGCCTTTAAGTTTCAATCTCATATTCTAGATTACTTATGGGGCTATCAGTCAAGGCTGCTATTTATGTTATTAACAGACTGCCTACCAAAGTTCTTAATGGCTTTTCACCTTTTGAAATTTTTTTTTGGTCATAAGCCTAAGTTAGATCATTTGAAAGTTTTTTGATGTCTGACATATGCTACCACTCTGATCCTCTAAGATAAGTTTGCCCAAGATCCACTCCTTGTGTCTTTCTTGGCATTCCTCTACCAAAAAAGGTTTTGTTCTATATGATTTGAAATCTGAAACAGTTTTGATTAATCAGGATGTCTTGTTTCGTGAACATATTTTCCCTTTTTCTTTACATCAACCAGCAAACCTCCTTTTCTACTTGATCATTTCATGGAGAAGAGTTAGCCTTTACATCCTTTGATTTTACAAATTTTCTTCATGAGATAGAAATAGCAGTACTTAGTTCTTCCACTTCACATTCACCCTCTTCTGTAGTTAATGCACCCTTACCTTCTCCCAACCAAATTAGAAAGTCTAGTAAGTCTCTAAACCACCTGTTTGGACCACTGATTTTGTATGTCCTACATTGCCTAGATCAAATTAGACCTATACTGTTAAATATCTATCCATGATTACATTTCCTAGCCATCTTTCTTTGCCTACCAAAAGTGTTTGTCCAGCCTTTTGTCCTTGCTAGCCTACATCTTTTACCCAAGCATCCAACGATCTGTTAGAGTCATGAAAGTGACCATATTTTGGTGATAAAAATACCCCATGTGTGATTAAATTGAAGTATATTGAGACAATTAAAGATTAATTTTATTTTCAGGAAAATCGCTTTCTAATATTTTTCTTATGAATTTAACATGTTTGGAATGATTTTGAAAAGTATATGATTTGATATTGGTTGTGGTTTGGATTAAGGGTGATTTTCTCTCATTTATGCTGTTTAGGGGGTAAAATGTCATGTTTTAAGGGGTTGATTTTGTCACTTTTCAATTGTGTGGACCAAATGATATTTTGCAATTGTTCAATAAAAGAAACTGCAGTTCGCGTGAACAGGGGGGCTGTTCATCATCTTTTCCAGCCACCCTTCGTCTTCCATTTTCGGCGACCTCCGACGACTCTTCGGCTTCCTCGTGCGCAGATCGTCGTCTGTCCCATCGTCCCGGACCACCACCCGCAATCACGGAACGCAGCCCCGGCGTTTCGTCTTCCACCACCTGACTGTTCGTCTTCCAGGCCAGTTTTGACCCTTTTTCGACGACGTTTCAGCTCCCCAAGGGTCGATCTCCCTTCCCCACGGCTGAATCTACACTTCCCTAGCTTCAGCCCCACGAAAACTGTCATCCGCGATTTTGCCGTCGCGCCTCTTCATCTTCCAGGCCAATCCTGCTCATTTCCGACGACTTCTCACCTCCCCAAGACCGTGATCTGAACCCCATCACCAGAGCTTTCCATCGGTACCTTAGGATCCCATTTCTGCCACCGTTTTCCGGAGCTTCACCGGA